TCAAATCCCCCGGGCATCATGCCCACCCAACATTATTAGTTGGGCGCAAGGGAGTGAAGTACGAGCATAAATCACCTGGAAGGCTAAGGCCGTAAAGTGTACGATAACGTTGCAAGGTGATTGTGTGCTCTCCAGGACACATGCAGAAGTGCCAATGTTGAATCCCCCGACCTGGAAACCCTTGCACCTCACTGAACTCAGAACAGGATCCGGAGGATTCAATCTATTAGCACTCTTCCCCCGAGAGTCATTACGACTTTCGAAATTACGGAGGATTTTCCCCCAGAAACGTTCTTTGTCCTCGCTGAGAGGTCGCAGGCTGCAAAGAAACTGAGGCCCAGACAGTGCAAGCATGTCAAACAACAACGGAGCTAGCGAAACATGCATTGGATGCCTCTCTCAGACGAAGGCCATGCGTGACATGTTTTCCCCCGGAGCCTTTTGCGTACTGCAAACAATGACACAGCAATCCTACCCACCTAAAGGAGTAACATACGTACGAGGCATCGATTTAGCTCCAAGGGTGTTCACGCGGGTGGTTACCCCCAGTACGATGGGCTGTTTCGTATCCCCCGGGACGCTACGTAGCAGTTACATGAAGATCACACAAACAGCATCATCAAACCTTTGTTTTTGGGAGGCCGTTGTCGACATATCCTTCGGGACCACTTGTTGTGCAAAACAAGGACACAGCTCTACTGCACACCTAAAGGAGCAACATGCGTAGAAGCGTTGGCGGGGTCCTGAAGGTATCGCTTCCCCGACTATATGAGGACGATGCGTTGCGACTTGTGAGACACTCCCCCTGAGCCAGGTCGTTCAAGTAAAGCAATGGCACAGCAGTGCTAAACACCTAGAGGAGTACCATGTGTAAAGTTCAGTTTTGCGCTGGCTTTGGAGGGACGGCAGTTACGTAGTGGCATGTCGTGGGGCAGGGTCTGACCTAAGTGGGGCAAGTACATGAATGGGATCTGAGGGACCGAGGTAGAGGTACTTCCCCCGTGTGGGCTCTGCTTTCCCCCTCTCAGCGGCTGCTTCAGAGGAGGTCGTGGTACGAGCTCAGTCGTCGTGAAGGGCTGCGTGCATGCGGCGGCGCCGGTGGCTGACTAAGCTGTCCTCCTCACTTTCCACCGCTACGGTGGGGCTGCGTTGTTCTCCCCCTGGTGCATTGCCCAAACCATGGTGGCGATCATGGAGCCACCATCCCCCGTTGGCAAAGGAGTCGTCTTCCAGTGGCATCCCCCGGTCTTGCAGGGGCTGCGGTTCTGTTCCTTCGGCTGGAGGGAGCAGCGCTTCGACTTCTTCGAGCGCACGGAGAAGGGCTGCATGGATCGTGTTGATCTCCCCCGGCGCCCAATCTGCAAGGCGGGTGCGCAAGTCCTGAAGCTCGAGGAGGATCCCCCGTGTATGCCGCTGTCTTTTTTCACGGGCGAGGTTGGAGGTCAGTGTCCCCCGCATCTCTGCCATCACATCTGCTGGGTAAGCTACTGCTTCCCCGTTCGTGATGGCCTCGAGGAACATAGCTGTCTCTGCTCTCTCTCTCTCGCTCTCTCTCTCTCTCTCTCTCTCTCTCTTTCTTTCTTTCTTTCTTTCTGCCGGGCGTAGGGGTCCCGCGGGGAGACCCTCAGGCCTTTGGCCCGCCCGACCACCTTTGTGTTTATTAAGTGGCCGGCTTTGGGGTTTCACTGACCGCGGCAGAGGAAGACGAAAGCTGCCCCAGGTGGTTGTGCGACAAGCCCCCGATCCCTGTACGCTACAACCCCTATGCAGGCCTCGTCCCCGCGCCCCTATGGCTCTCGTCAGGGCTTGTGATCGCAACCACCGCTGCAGAGCCCCAATGTTTTTGAGGCGTATCCCCCGTATCGGGTTTTGTGGGTGGCACTCTCCCCCTGGCAACAGCACAACTTAGAGGTAGTCCCAGCGCCTAGTAGCCATCAACAACTCTCGTCTCTCTCTCTCTCTCTCTCTCACACACGCACGCACATGCCATCAACGTAGCGAAGCATAGGCGCATTACAATGCTTCCACTTGCTGATCTTTATCGTGCTGGTTTTTGCTCTGTGCTCGTCACGGTCGGGGACATTCGGGGGGCAAGTTTCGGGAACAAGCGATCAGCAAACAGAACTCAACATGGCTCAACAAACCCTAAATATATTGATTGACAGTCTCCAGAACAGCCTATTTGCAGCTTCGTGTTGCAGGGACGCAGGCGTCAACTGTTGGGCACATGTGGCAAGATTGCCCAGTAAGGAAAATGAAGAAGTAACAGGATTGCGTTCGTGCAAAAGCTTCTTGAGCAGGCTACCAGCTGCTACAAGTACCAATGCATTGCTCCTTCAGCACATTGCCAACTATGCTCTATCCTTCTTGATAAAACTATCCTGGAAGCCCCAATCCCAACCCCCGCGCGGTCCGATTCCGACTCGAGGTCGTGGAAGGTGGAATGGAATGCACGCATGTTCCTGAGTTCAGCTCACAGCTGACTGACTTCATAACTTTGCACATGAGCCACTGATGCAAATGCCTTGTTCATGACAGCTTGTGTGCCAATGCCACATTGATACTCGATTGAGCGCAGCTTCGCTTCTTGCAAGTCGATCTCATGACACTGCAATCCACATATGCTCATTGCATCACAGTAGTAGTCCTGGTTCAAGTTCAAACAGCCGCTGGTACTCACGAGCAACAACTCACCAAGCGAATGAACTAGGGCAAAAGCATTACGGCGCCTCACAAGCGGACTGCCAAGGACTTGTAGACATGGAGACCAAATAGAGAGCCGCATTACCTTCGTTGACAGAACAAGTAAAAGTGACAACAAGATCCGAGGTTTTTCAGATCGGCCGCTAACTAGCGAAGCAACGCTTTATCGCACAACCCAAGAAGCAGCCACATCCGGCGCCATCGATGTGAGTGGTATACTCGAGCCTCTTCCCCAAGAGATGCAGTTCGATGTAACCGGATGGATCGAAGTTTTCATCGTGGCCTGACCATTGGCTTGAAAAGTGTCTTAGAGTCTTCGCATAGTACTCCAGCCAAACACGGCTAAAATCGGAAGTGGGCCTGAGGCATTGCAGGAAGTGCCCCAGTAAGTTCGACCCTTGTCAGCGATGACCACTGCCCCGTCCTCATGCTGCCACAAGGCAGAGAAAAAAGTTGCAAACAGGAGGGGCGTGGAGCGGAGACTTGATACTTCAGAGACTTCAGACTTAGACTTCTCTCCTCCATCCAAACGTTGCCTGCCGGGTCACCTCGGAAAGACATGTATTCGATGACACATGGTCGTCTGGTCAGAGACTTGCACAAACATTCCATCACGAGTCTCTAGCACTTGTTACGTGCCGAAGCATACACGGCGATTTCTTCGATTCGGATCCATGAGCGTTACCCCGCTGCCCCAATTTGCGCATGACCTCACCCAAGGGCTATTGCCGGACAGTAAGCTTTCGCTCAACAAACCTGACGAATTCCAAGGCGCTTGGAAGGTTGTATTTCGCGTTGATCAACGGAACGGTACCCAGGCCACTCACCTGCGCATGTCGCAACGATCCTGTTTCACGGTGTTCAAAGATGTACAAAGTATGAAATTATGCTGGCAGAGCTGATGACAGACCTCTAACTAAGACAAACAAACCCACCCCGAGAGCTGCGGAAATCCCCGTTCCTACTGTGCCATCAGCCTGGATGCTTCCAGCACAAGGGTTGGACCACAATGGCTCTGGCCACCTGGTTGTCCAACAGCTGAGCAGTGCCGAAACTAGTGGAAAGAATGTCTTACACTGATGCGGGCGCGGTGCAGCGCTAGTCTTGCTTCGGCTCTGTCACGGCCAGAGCTTCTCATGTTGCCCATCAGGATGCCCATCAGGATGCCGAGACCGAGCAAAGCAATGCTCATGACCAGGGCATGGAGACAGGACCACCGCACTGTGGTCCCAGCTTTTTTTTGTCTGCTGGTCTCTTCGAGCTCGTCCTCCTGTGGTCGCACTGCCCTCACGAAAGAACTTTTCACTGCTGTCGACGCGGCCTCCATCAATGTCAACAGCTCAGCCCATTTATCTTCAGCGGCCGATGATCTGCAGGCTTCCTGCAGAGAGCATTGTGCAATTTTTGAGATTGCTGTGCGCGGTCGTTTTTATCTTCGATGAGGGGGGAGCTCGACATTGAACCACCAATGCTTGGACTCGAGGGGTGGGGAGGGAAGGGTGACATCTTTCTCTTGCAAGCTGGAACTCGCATGGCAATTGCTGGCGCAATGAAGACGACACGAAATCATGGGCAAGCCGCAGCTGTAGCAAGTTCGGGTGGGCGAGCGATCCTGCGCTCCGAAGTTTGCAACCAAATTTAGGAATTGCGGCCAAACGATCAAAAGAACTGACAAGCAGTCATCGGAACTCGATGGTCTATATTAGTGTTCCGTTTGACTTCAAGCCTCTTGCGACCAGCCACTCCGCAACACTCAGCATGCCTTGCAGGCACTCGGGTCACTCGGGGCGGGACCTAGTTGTTTCGTGGCTTGCCTTTCAATGCAATTCTGGCATTCAGGTTTCTCATCTTAAGATCGTGCCATGGTATGAGATCTTTCGACACATTCGGCACAAGCATTCATGCTCAACCGCGTACTTCCGAGAACGGCGGCAACCGTTTGCAACAGCCCGTTGTCCTGGTATTCATGGTGCTGGCACGGCATAAGGAACCCCGTTGCTTGGCGGGGTTCTACTGGGTGCCTGAGCCCTGCGTACTGCAGAGTGCAAGAACCCAACTATGCATGAGCCTGCTATGCGCACATGCCCAGCTGTGACGAAGCTCCCAGGCTATGCGGCCCAAGCACTTTACCTTTCGTATGTGTTCTTGAAGATATGGGTAGAACTAGAAGCCGCACTTCAACTTATGACAGCTTAGATGCGGACATCGTGGACAACGGCGATAGCAACGTTTGAGGGTCCGGCTGCTGCATCACCAATTCTCGAGACACTGCACGCTCCACTGCCTGTGCACCTTGAGAAGGGGCCACGAAAGCTAGTGGGACTGGGGCTTCTGGGCTGCTTCACACGACAGTTGTTTCCGGTGCAGTGGGGCAGCAATCCGAGCAGTAGTAGCACACAGCGGCGCTGTACGCACGTTTCCTTCCTCGGTCTCCTCGCGCTCAATACTTGTAGTAGTGCCAGTGCTGTGCTTTTGTGCTACTGGCAAGCGTAGCAGCAATGGTACGAGTAGTAGCAAGATAACTCAGCCCCGTCCGCCTGAAAGCTCGGGCCAAGGGGTTGGGGGCAACACCCCCCAACCACATGTATCCAAATCCCGATGTACTAGACCTAAACGCCATAAACAAATGTCTTGCTGGCCGTCTTTTTTTCTTACTTACCGAAAGCTCCCGCAAGCTCCTGAAGAGCTAGCTTTCGTGATGAGCACTAGCGCAAGAGCTAAACACGCGCAGGCCGAGGGAGGAAACCCGCGTGGCGCGCCACCATGGTTGCTAGTTGTGCCGGTGGGTCGACCGGAAATGTGTAAACTTTAGCACTCTTGCGCATTCTCATCAAGTTTCGCGTCGCTCCATTTATGGTTCAACATGCTTCAACAGCTGCTGTCAACATGTGCATTGCTGCAATGCGGCACGGCACTATCCTGGCTGAGTGTGGATTCCTTGCAGAAACCCGTGGTGTGGCACCTAGAGCCGCTTGAGAAGGAGTAACGTCGTAGTAGTAACAGTACGAGTAGGAGTTGGGTTTAGAGGGAAAGCAAAGATATCATAGAATGTACATTGTTGGGAATCTTGTTGCCGTCGTGGTCGCACCCGCATCACTGCCGTTCGTGAGCCTACAACACCACGACTGCAACTCTCTTCTCCTCTTTGCTAGCAGGTCTGCTACCATAACTATGACCACTACCACCAGTGATGCTGCTACCACCAGGACCGGCACCACAATAAGGAAGAGGAGTCCGACGACCATCACGACTACAACAGCTCGTGAACACATGACATTGCCGGTTGTCTCATTTGCTCCTGATCCACCAAACCGCTGCCCGGCTTAGATTCGTGACAAGTTTTGAAGAGGACTCGGCCCTGTGTGCTGAAATTGCCAGTGCTGTTTCTGGTTACACAACAGTTTTCCTTAACTACGGGCGGCTACCGTCACTACTGCTGCGGTTGTTGCTGTGACTCCGACTTGAGACGCTGACGACGATCATTGCTGCCACTGGTCCTGTTAGTGTTGCTATGACTCCCAAACCCCAACCATCACGGAACATGCGCCGAGCTATAGAAAGAGGTAAATTCGTTGCTTTGGTGGTTTGGAGTATCTGGGATACTGCAAGGTCTCTTCATTCCAGAATCCCCTTAGAATCAGAGTCTCACTCCCCCAAGAATACTGCAAAATTCCGAAAGAGAATTTTATTACAGTGGCCTGCAATCGCTCCGACTCTTGCGTCAACTCTGCATGGCGCTCCGACAGCTTGCAGGCCTCCGATGGGAGCCAGGGTTCGGGGGTTTGGGGCTTAGGGGGTAGGGAGAAAAAGCAGGCACCTTAGGAGGGTCCTTCTGGCAAGGATCCTTGTTTGAGGGGGCGCTTTCTGCCTGAAAGAGCAGGCCGCAAAGGGGTAGGCGGGGACCGCTCCCCGTGTTGCACGCCTTGAAGTACCGGTCTATCAGACCTTAAGGCCCTGAAATGTTTTGCCTTCAGGCCCTAGAAGTCTTGCTGGCCGGTTCTTGTCTTTCTTACCGACAATTAAAGAGTACCACAAGCTCCTGAAGAGTTAGCTTGCGTGCTTTTGAGTAAACGGGCACAGCTACAAGGGCTTCCTGCAGTTGAAGACACAGCAGTCACATGCAGCTCTCATGCAGCAACTGACATGTCGACTTTCTGCTATTTCGATGTCATCTCACCGCCTCCCTCGCTGTGACAGACTGCATTCCCTGGAAAGGTGCGGAGCAATTGCAGCGAAACAGAAAGCATGAGACCCATTACTTACTCTCCGTTCCCAACGGTGATCATTGATTGTCCCCACATGTACGAGCGAATCAGCAGCAATGTTTTTGAATTGCAGCATCGACTTGCAGTTTTTAACATGTGCACGTTGGCGCGCCTGAATGCCGACCGCAGGGTCCACAGGCAATCAGACTACAAAGGAGACGCTACTTCCATGCCCAACAGCGTGCTTGAGCCCAAACTTGCTCAAATCTGAGAAAGTTTGGGATGGATCGACCTTCGTCCGAAGCGATCCTCTCGCAACACATGTGGCATCTGCAACCAGACATCTGCCTCCAAGGCTCTAGACACAAGGACCAGAAACTTCTTGCCGACGCAGGGCAACCACATTGCACGTGCAGTGAAACCGTTCTAACTTTGCCTGTACACTGGCAAACCCTCGACTCTACATGACTCTACGGTAATGGGAATGGCCCTACCAGGCGACATGCTGTCTGGTCAGGACTCCAGCCTGGCGTCAGATCGAACCAGGGAAACAAGTATGGTCAAAGGCTCACAAGACAAGTAGCTAACACGGAAGTGTCAGTCCTGTGCTCCTAAATACACAGCATTGCACGCAGCTACCTTCTGTGTCGTCACTTGTCATGCTTATGTTGCCTCGGCCGCGCGCAATAGAGCACTGAACTAGACTGAGACATATGAGAGATTCAGGGCAGGCAGCGCGAGCTTGACTTGGGAGGAGTATGCAATACCACAGAGGTGGTGCATCATCACCATTACCAGGTGGCTGCGTGCCGAACTTGTCGAAACGTGCTGCAGCACAAAAACTTCGAGCCTTGTATCCAGCTGCCGGAAAGAGAAAGCCTCGCAAACGCATGGCCCATCGGATATGCGATTCAAGTCTGAGCATGAGCCGGGATATTCGTGTGCTTGTGCCGATCGGAGTCGAAGTCACATACGGGTGATGCTTGCCCTAAGGCGCATCCAAAAAAACAAACTGCAGGTACTGCATGGGCAAGCGGCGCTGCCAGTGCCGGAAGGTGGAACCAACCGAAAGTCCTCCCAGTCACGGTGCGAAGCTGGGCCGATTTGCCAAGATATGCAACGGCAAGTTAGAGCTGCAAATTTCCGCAACAGCACTTCAGCGCCACAGCAAGAAAACCCGGGAACCTATTGTGGAACCATCGAGCCTTCCACCGACAGTGAATCAGCTTGAGACTTTTCCACACTTTCCGCTCAGGTCAAGCGCAAAGGCTAGCTCACTGTTCTCAATGGACAACTCTTGTGGCCCGTGGAGCGCACCTCGTAAAAACTCATGAACAGGAAGGGAAAGGTGGATGACTACCTTTACTTAACATGTTTCGAGGAAGGCAGAGCATTCACTACTTTTGGGAAGCGTGTGGAATGGGAACTGGACAGATGGGTGGGCTTGCGACTTGATCTTCTCATGCATAAACAGTTACTGCTGACCAATTATGATGTGCTCTGTACTTACCCCGGCACGCGGTGGCTCGGGAGCAAAAGACATGCACAAAGAGCTGTGAAGCACATATGCCTGCTTCGTAAGATTTAGCCGCAGGAACCTCGCGACCCCCCCAAAGGGAGGATACGCCATTGCAGTAGCATTCGATGTAGAGGTGGTGGTGGTTCTAGTGCAATGGCAGTTCGAGTGGCAGGAGTCGGAGTTGGAACAGTAGTCGTCGTCGTGGTGGTGGAAGTACTAGTACTTATTGCTGTTGTTGTTGTTGTTGTTGTTGTTGTTGTTGTTGTTGTGGAGTGGCTTGGCCCGCAAGGGAAACAAGAGCGAAGGGGCGAGAGCGAGACAGAGAGAGAGAGAGGCAGCGAGAGGGAGACAGAGAGCGAGACAGAGAGGATGAGTGAGAGCAACTGCGATTCCCGAAAATAGAACCTCGTGCTCAAGCTCGAAGAGCTTCTCGCCGGTTTCCAAATCCTCAGTGAGGTTCGGCTCGACGCAGCTGAATCCAAACAAGCGCATCCACAAGAGTTGCCTGTTTGCGTAATTCGAATCAAGCTTCCACGATGTCTTTAAAGCGGAAGCAGTTGTATTTCCGTGCCTCGAACAGCCCAAGTGACTGCAAGAGCCTCACGGGTGCTGAGCACAGCACCTCGTCCAGGTTCGTGGACTTGTCGAGATGGACAAACCGAGGATTCACCCAGATAAGACCTTCAACACGGGGACGGTTCAGCTTGTAAGCCCGACCCCCACGTTCCTGGTCTGGAAGGTGTGGCACGACATTACTTTTTCAACGGCCTCGCTGGAGCAAGCGCTCGAAACACGCATCGAAATCTTGTATGTAGATGGCCAGGTGCTCCCCCAGCCTGAACTTCAATGCAGCATGTGAATCAGAGACATGAAGGTTCACACAAACACAGCAATTTTGCAGGCCATGGCCTGAACGTCTGACGTGGCTTTTCAAACGTGCAAAGCGACAACCGAAACTCCGCATTGCTGCCGCGTGGCTCTTGTCCGCTGCAGCCGGCATGTTCCTGCAGGACCCGAAGCCACCACGTTCAGCTTTATCCAGCTGAGAGGGGTCTAGGCTAGGGTCCAAGCCTCCAAGCGCAGGCGCTGAGCCGACTGGGGGCCGCCCAAGAGGGCCCAAGCACCGGGCTCTCTTGTCATGGAGAAGCCCAGAAGCTGACCAGAACAAGCCAAGCAGGTGTCTTTGTGAAGTCTGAAAGACATCAAAATACATCAAACAACCCACCTCAGCATAAAACTTGGCTCCACGTTCAGCTGTGCCAGGGGGTACCTGCTTCGATCCAGGACACAGTGATCGCAGCTCCAGCTGTCCAGGCCTGCAAAGTCACGGAGCCGATGCCAAGGACCTGTCCATGCGAGAGCACAACAATGCCAAGCTGTCTTGGCACCCCTCTGGTGCCTTGCAGTCCTCTGTGCCTGGTCGGATCCCAACACTCATTGCCGCAGCCACCCCATTCGAGGCCACGCGCAGGGCAAACTTGTTGCCGTATGCGTCGCTTGCCCACAGCCCCTCCAATATGTCGGTGGCACTCGCGACAGTTCACATCTGAATGACTGCAAGTCACTGCGCTGGTCTTGATACACTACAACCACGCTTTCCTGTTGCTCGTCATTCCAATCGCCAACGGCCAAGCTCGTTCCTTGAAACTCGGCCTGGATGGAATTCCAGATGTGCATGCTTCAACAACCGCAGAATCAAACATGGTGCCTTTTCACGTAATTGTGCCACGCGCGTGGCCGCTGCTTGAAGTGAATCGAGGCTATCGTACAATAACCTGTGCTGACGATGAACCAGAAAAGACATGAACAGGCTAGAAATATCTGGCCAACTGTCTGGCCAAGTTGCTCCACATGACCACGCCAAGTCTGAGCACCATCGCCTGCAATGTAGAGAGTTTTCTACCGTTCGGAAATGCAATGTAGCAATGGGGCACTCGATCTTCGCGGCCTGCGATGTAGGCTTCATTCTCCGGGGACGGTGTGTGAAATTGCGTCAAAGAGCCACAGTTACCTGTTGTGGGCACAGCATGGCGCTGATTCTCGCTGTAGGAGTATCACAACCCAGCAACATCCTGTGCCAGTGCTGCTGGATATGACAATGGTGGCATTGAGTTTGAATGCTGGGGCAAACCAAGTCTTGGCCTCTTGTTTGGCAGAACTCTGCGACATGAGAGACTAACATGCTGAAGACATGCAGATATCAATACGCAGGGGAAGGTGCGCGTCTACGGTTGTCTACTCATTGAGCTGCTCAGTGAGCATCACAATCCCGACGAGTACAAGTTAATACAAGTCATAAACCTCGGCCAAAATGCTGTGCAAGGTTTTGTTCATCGGTCGTCTCGCGTCTCGGCAGCATCCAAGTGCCTGAAGCGCAAACGGTGCAAGCAATGCCTCCATGCAAACTCACAGCCCTCTGATTACATGTGCACTTCCGTGGGCAAAAAAGATGAGAAGTGCCTCGTAGAACTCCAGGGCGACTTGCGTACTCAGCCTCACGACACCGTGCATCCAGGGGAAGATTTCACTGCCCGGAGAAGCTCGAGGGGCCCGGCACGTTCAAATTCAAGTGCTCTATGAGCAGAAGCCCCGTTGCGTCGCCCTGCAAAGCCAACTGGACAAAGTAGATCCCCAGAAGCAGCCGATATCAGCCGACGCAGCCTGAGCGACTGCGACCGTGTCTGCTGCGCTCGTGCTCGAGGCTGCCATGAGAGTAGGCATCTGCCTGAAGCAGCGAGCAAAAACGATGCCGCGAACGTCCACTGGGCTGCCCGTGGCCTCCTTCGCCACCGGCAATGTGCTGCAACTGCTGCACCGATGCTGAGAAATCGTGGCAAAGCTCCTTGCGGAACTAAGCCATTGCACGGTGCCGCCAAGTTTAGGCCAGGAAACGGACGAGCGGGAGCCAGGAACAAGCGAGGCAAACAGCAACTTGACCTCACAGCAGACCTTGAACCCCAACTGTCAACGAGAGATGGTAAATCCAGACTTCAACAACGGCTAAAACACGCTGACCCGAAATGGAGCCAAGGCTCTCAGTGGAAGCGCGCAGCCTCTGGAACCAAACGGTGCTGTTTGCGGCTCGGCTCCCCAGCGCAGCGGACTGCGTGCTGCGTGCCCGGTACAGCCGGTCACGACATGAGACGGAAAAAGGAGCATCCCAAACTGCTAGACTTCGGAAAAATTATGCTGGAGAGAGGCTGCGGCTTTACGCCATCCTGATATCCCTTCTTCCATCTATTCGTAAGTCGTATGATACTCTTGCGCTGCTTGTTGCATTCGCTGCCATCCAGCCAAACAGCAACCAACGGCTTCGGGAAATCAAAGACTGGATGAAGCAGGCTGTCTGTGCAGTGGCTGGATGACACATGGAGTACTCAGAATCTCGCATGCCTGCCTCGGGGCAGTTGTCGTCACCGCAGCCCGCAGCCGCAGCAGCTGGAAGTTTCGGGCACGGCTTGTGGCTGGGGAGACTGCAAATACGCTGTTGGATGTTTAAGGCCATCTACGCGAGCAACCCAACCCCTGTACCAGCACCTGCATGCACACAGTGTCACCAGCTTTCGGACGCCCCACCTGTCAGCCGCGCATCTCGCTGGATCATTGCAATTCCTTCCGGCTCGTCATCGATCAGGGCCATGATGTCAATCTAAGTGGGTTCCACCGAGGAATGTTCCACTACCCTCGAACTGCAGTAGGATGCTTTGAGATGCTCGCATCTTCATCAACGGGCTCCCACGAGTGCCCGGATCCCGCCACACACACCACCTGATTGTTGGCAGTTTAATGCATGGCCACAACTTGTCGCTTCGAGAGTCCGCACAACCATTGTCAGCGGAGTTCAGACTATCGATGCGACTTCACGACTGCAATCTGTGCAGCTATTCCGAGAGCATGCAAGAAGCGAGCGCCGCCCCTGTCACTGAGATTGCTGCCACAAGCTGCACAATTGCCAGCACCAGCAAGCGCGCCATGCTCTGTCACGCCTGCACAGCCGATGTGGAATGGAGCAGCACCACTGAGGGCAAATCTGCTACACCTCTCATTTCACGGTTGGATTGCTGGCGCCTGTGGGATTTCTTAAGAAATGCACGGAGGCACAGGATATCCAAAAGCCCAGCTGCAGCACATCAGAGATTTCTATCCTGAAGATGCGTGGACTAGGGGAAGAGAAATGGCTTGTCGGAGTTGAGCATAATTCGGTCAACACTTGTTGAGTCCCATTTTCCCGCACGCACGGAGTCTTCGTTATCAAAGCGGCTCCATTCGGAGGACTGCTAGATGCCATCGAAGACACAGCTTGTCATGAGCATGATACTAGTCGGTACTGGATCAGGTGTGGATTGGGCACGGCATGATTTATGTCAGTTGAAGCTCTGTCCCTTTCTGGCGGTTCACTTACAGGAAGGCACATTCGGGCCTTTCCATCCTGCTCTTTTTCATTTTCATTAGCAGTTTAATACCAGTTGACTGAGGAGCAAACGACATTAATGCAGAATGGCAGGGAAGAGCAGGACTAGAGCGAAGCTGTTGTGGACTTGTCCCACAGCGTTGCTCCGTGTCTGCTTCTAATCGCCAACTACTTGGGCTTCCCCGTCCGCGGAAGAAGTGCAGACACACACACACACGCACACGCAACGACGAGTAGCCCTCGCAAGCGCACAGCCCAAACAGAAATGTCTTGCCACCGTACCGATGATGACAGGTATGGTTCTTGAATTCGTAATTCTGTGCTTTTGACTGCTGGCCTAGACTGTGTATGTATTCCCAGTCAGCTACGACCTATGCTACCTTGATCCTGCTCTCATGGCACAGGATGCAAGCCGATTCGCCATCGGCCAGTCTCCTGAAGTCAACGGCCAAGGGGCAAACGCCATCTAGCTGCATGATGCTGCATGCCCACATCCTAAAAACAATCTGGCATCGCTTGCGCCGAGTCTCTGTTGGAGGACTTGACAACTGTCCCGTCCGCCAGAATATTGTGGCCAACTCACCGTGCCTGAATACCCGACACTAAATTTCTGGGGCCTTGTAACAAAAGACTCTGTTGAGAGCAATTGCTTGGCAGTGACTTGACTGACAGCCCAGAAGACCGTGCCGGTCAAGCGCATTTCCGTTTTGCGGTCGACTGTTGACGTCAAGTCGTGCAAGATCGTGCAACGAGCTAGGCAAACGTGGCGGCACTGGAACAGGCGGCAGCAGCAGCAGCAGCAGTTGCATTGGCGTTGCTTACCTGACGAGGTACGCCAGTGAGATCGAGGGCGCCGAGTCAGAATCTCCAGCACAAAATTGCATGGATACTGCCTTAGGTGAGAGCGATCCGCATCAACATCGCTGTTTCACTCCGCTGCATGCACTTCGGCATTAGCAGCTACGAGGCTTCAACGGCGCTGGCTTGTTGACTAGTGCTGGTCCTATTTGTGCGTCGAAGCGGTTGCAGTACTCCGCAGGAATTCACAGCCTGCAATGCAAAAGAAGCGCCGACCACTTCAAACTCTCATAGGACCAGGTGGCAGGGGCAGCGATCTCTAGCTCGGCCTGCTGCAGGGAATTTGTCGTGCGTACTACCCATGTAGCTGTGGCTGCTGACAGTTGTGCGATGCAGACCTCCAGGCAGGGGTCACCCTCTGCCGTAGTTCCAGCTAGGTCAACTTCCTTCACAGGAGATTCCACTGCACAGCTCTCACCCATTGAGGACGACAGCTATGCCTGCAGCATGCTCTCACATCAAAGAAGGCTTCATAGCATGGTGACAGATGTGACAGTCCTCGACGGTTAAAGCGACAGGGCCAAAGACAACCAGGTGTGCCGCACGATGACTGACGTAGTTCAAAGCCTCTGATCCAGCCAGGGAAACTTTTATCTGCCACTGCTCTGCCCCGAGTCAGAATTACATGACCAGGAAGCCTGGAGCGTGCGAGGGCGATCCTCAGGCAGACACCACGGCTTTCGTGCGTGGGAAATGAAACATGCTGATGCATGATGCAAGGATCCAGCATGATCCAGCGAAGCAGTAATCTGCAGTGGCGGTAATCCCGAGAAGCTACCAGTACTGTTGCTCTTGGGCAGTCGACCAAGAGGCTCGTAGTGAGATCCGCATTCAGAACGTGGCACCGTCTACTGCATACTGAACTTGCAAATTCCTGATTCGACCAAGCGTCGCTGCTATAGACTTGAAGAATGCCGTCCACCTTCAGCTGAATCTAAAGCTACATCGTAAGAGAGCCCTATCTCGGCTTTTATTTATCTGGAACAGCAAACTAGTCATTCTACGTGCTACGAGCTTGCAGTACAAAGATCCCCAACCGCGAGCCTACACGCGAAGCTGCAAAGACCCTCGAATCCCTGTTGCATCCCTTGTTAGCAGCTCTACAAGGGACACTTGCAGTTTCGTTGCTGCGCGCCTGGTCTAACTCCCCGGTCTGTGCGGTTGGAGTCATTTGGAGGCCTGCCTGGTTCAGTATACCAAGAAGATCCACCTGCCCAGGACTGGGACAGTCCGCAAAGCAACAAGCTGTAACAAGCTGTCTCAGCATGTCAGAACAGGAGGCTTAAACGTCCAGGCTGCCTGGGCTGGACGCCTGGAAAACTTCTTTTCACCCGCGGCCTTGGGAGTCTCTATGACCGGTGTGCCCGCAACCTTGAGGAACAAGACGTCACTGACAGGTCCTCCATGCAACTGCTACTATGGGACAATCGGATTTGGCACTCGTCGCGCTGACAATTCAGGGACAACGGCAGTCCTTCACCGAAAGCATTCACAGCAGTCACTTGGTAACCATAGTCGCGACCAGGCACCAAGCCTGAATCATCGAACTGCCTCGGCTATTGATGTCCTTGTCCTTTGTGAATAATGGGGCACAGCTGTCCAGGCCGAGGTGCGTGACAGCTGTGCTGCCGATCAGCTCGAACAAGGCCTTGTAGTTGATATTGACTGATGCGTCTTCAGTGCATCTTCAGCACTCTAGCTGGTGATGGACTTGTCGTGCAGCCATGCCTACATCGGCAATCTCGAAGCAGCAACCGTGCCAACTGGCTAGTCACGAAGTCATAATTTCAACCATTTCCCGTCAATGTGTCGGCCCAAACCTAACCACGAAAAGGCGAATGCAGAAAGGAGCCTGTCGCAACCCACGGTCGCGGTAGACGTTGTAGTAGGCCTAGCAGGACTGCTCATGCTTCTCTGAGCACTTCTTCCTGGAGTTGACTGCCATCAAAACAAGACCGCACCGTCTCAGCACCAGCTGCATCTTGTGGAGCATTCCATGCCAGTCTCCTTGGCTGAATGAGAATCCGCATTCCCAAAGGGAGGGGCGGGCAGGCCATCCGTACTCTGGATTTTTCCAACACCCCGTGGTGTAAAACCGCCTCCTCACCTGACATGGCAACTGAACACATCTGACGCGTGAACTTGCCGCAACAGCTTCAATGATGCAGTCTCTCTGTCCGCCGACACTGATGAAGAGACCTCGTCCAAGTGTGCTTTGTGCACTAGCTGGAACTGACAAAGCTGCAAAGGCAAGGCGTCCGATCAGATCCGTTTCATCCCTTCAGGCTATGACAATTCGAGATGACACGTGTCGAGAATGGCAGCGCCTCGCGCAGCTCCGAGATGGTACCCGGACGAAGGAAACAGCCCGTCTGCAGCGGCTCGCTCAAAGGTGACCTCCAGCTCTTGTCAATGGCTTCCCGTGCCTCGAACGCCTTCCTACCGCCATGTGCCCAATTACTTAAACCAATCCACATCACGAGGAGTTGAATTGCGAGATAGGCATTTGGGCTTTAATCCGAATTTAGATGTATTCTATAACCCAACAGAACCAAGAATCCAGTACCAGTCTTCGTTCACCTGCGCCTTAACCATAAGAAGCAAATCAGGGACATTCATTTCATTTGTTTGTAATGTTTTTTATTTCAATCGCAAGCGCTGTTCTTATCACTTCCACTCATTTCTCTTGGTCACATCTCTGCCACCAAGCCGCCAGCCACCCAAATTCCGCCCTGACAAGGTGACCTCATAGCTCAAGCCTGACAGACGAAACGGGGTGAAGTGCAAGCCCGCAAGATGCCATAAGGTTCTCTGCTCAGCAAAAACCAGAAGTGCAAACTCAAACAGATTGTGAAATTTGCGAAGACAGCACGAAGCAACTCCGGCTATCCAGAAGCCTGGTGTACATGCCAAGTCTGCCACGCGCACCTCGATGATGTCAAGCTGATGAAGCATGTTGGATAAGGTGCAGCCGTACGTGGAGAACCTACAAGTAGCCATTTCGTGCGGCCACGATGCCCAGCGAGGTGGTGATCCTGCGCGGGCTTGCTCCAAGCTGCTTCGATAACCATAGTCGTCATACACCTGCACATCACTTGCACATCGTACCGCAGTTTGTCATATGTGCTTTATGATTCGTTTCGGGAATCTTGGAGAGATGCAATAGATCTGGAGTGCCTCATGCCTGCACGTCACTTGCGGGAACGCGCCTGAGTGCCATTCAGGAAGACCTGAGCAAGCTGGCTGCGACACGGTCAGCGCTTTATGCACGCAGATGTTCGACGAGCTCCAGCCAGGGAAAGACAAGCTCTTGGCCGAGCCACACGATACCGGTCTATAGCGCCACCCTCATCTGTCTCCTTCTGGAGCCACTGCACCCGGATATGGCCGAGGCTGCCAAAGGTGGTGAAAGCATGTCCTCAGCTGCTCGAAACCTGGCTGAGCCTCGCTTTGCCTCGCCGTCGTGAGAACTCTTCGGGCAGATGTGTCGTTCAGCACACGAATCTTTGTCGGTTTATTCATTTAGCGATTCAGCCCACAGTGGAGCCTGAGCCGCCCGAGGCCGCATCCAAAGCTTCAGATGCCGATCTGAGGGATGCTTGTTGTGCAGGCCGGTGCCATGCCACAATTGAAGAGACTTCGAGTTGTTGAAAGTTGATCTCACATCCAGATCTCTGAGACTAGGTTGGTATCAGTCAACCACCAAGCATGGTCAACCAGCCCCCAGCCGACCTGGAGCTGATGTACGGCGTATATGTGTGCACAACCGAGGCAAGGAGCCAGAGGAAAGCGTGCCATCCAATGCGCCTCCGCTGATGTACCTTTTGTCTGGTTTCGGCTTCGATTCATCTCAATCTAAGACGCAAGGAACGATTCAGAGCTGCGAAAGAGCTCGGCTCTAACCTGATGCGGCGGGTGGATGCCAAGATGCATGAAGAAGAGGTATTCCGTGTCCATGCTCAAACCGCACCCAGTGAGTGTCAATGTCTCCAGACCACCACCTTTCAAAGGCACGCAGATAAATTTGTTGCTCCGGTACGGTGTCGACCGTCTCTGGCTTTCTATGGCTTTCTCCTGCTGTCCATGTAGCACTGTTTTCAGGGTTATTTCGACTCACTGTTGTGTGTGTGTATGTGCAGACCGTATCTCGGATGCATTGTGCATGAACTCTGACTCAATGTATCTGTTCACTTGTAACGCCTGCAGTCTCCATCGGCCGAACAAGCTCAGAACAGAACGGTATCAGGCACGGATCTGCTTTGCACATCTTGGTCTCAACTCTGGCGGATCTAAACTTGCCGTGGCATCTGACACAGGCAGCCTAGCAAGCTCTCATGAGCGCTTTGCGTGCCTGTCAGGAAACCGGCAGAGTTCTTGCAGCAGTTGGGGCCACCTTTGCTGAGTGAACCGTCGCGGGGACTGCGACTCTGTGTTTTGACAAAGGTGATTGTGAAGCTCAAAAGAAACCAGCAAGTCCATCACCAAGGCCGTTTCTCCTTGTCTCATCCAGGTCGCCAAGGCTTGCCTCCCCACTCATCACAGCAGCTCCGGTAAGATACCTGCGAAGATCTACCAAGCTGAACAGCATAGCACACATACAAGTAACTTCTTGCCCCACAGGCACACGATACAAACCTCTCGCTGCGCTTGGCTTTGGACCGATCAGGCTGGCAGAAGCCGACAGGCAACTTACCGGTGACAGCTTCATGGTTGCAGCTACTAGCCGAGTCGCTTAGCATCTTGGGGGGAGATGATTGCACACCATCCAAAGCCTGCATCAGCACAACATCGCGCACGCCAAAGCAGGGTGAGAATCGCGGCTAGCTGCTGGCAGTGACGGAGAAGCGATATGTTCCAGAGGTCGACACATTACTCGCCCATCTTGATCTTTGGGCCCTGGGCGCCTGCAGCCCAGGTCTGAAACTGGACTGTGAACGTCTCGGCCATTGCCGTGCCAACGACAGATGGAGAGGCAATGAAGTAGTTGCCTTGGATCATTGACATGCTCTCTGGCGAGACTTCACTGAAAGGCTACATCACGCTTGCAAAGCAGCTTTCAAGATAACATGATGAACTCCAGCGTAATGCATGCTGTGTTGGCATGAGGAGGGACGGGAGCAATGACAAACGGCACCGCTGTGGCTAAGGCTTAGGACCTATGACACTGCGAAGGCACGATGAAGAACTTCCCTTCCTCATCTACATCATACAATCTCACACAGCAAGGCTAAGACCCTTGAGGAAAAACTGTGCAAAGCAGCGCATGGCTGCACACATGTCTTTGAGTCGACTCTCAAACTCAACACTCGGTGTTGGCGGTACTGGGCACAAATCCTGAGAGCTGAATCAATCAACTGTTGACTTAAAGCAGAATGCTGCTAATTACGGTACATCCTAGCTCTCGCACCCGAATCCCCCCACGTCTGTTGTTGTGAGAGGTCAATTCCAGGTGCTGGCGTTGTAATACTTGTCCAGCTTCAAGCCTATGATCTCGCCATCGTTGTTCCCTCCTGCATCCTCAGCGTAGATCGCTATCCTCAGCACAGTCAAGGACCAACTTCGAAGGAGCTCCAGTGGTGGATTACAGCGGCCTTTCCGCCACACCATTATCTCTACACCCGACGACAAAGAGAGCTTGCACAATCATGTTTTCTGAATCAGAACGAGATTCATGTAGTTCGTGCCAGATGTGAATGTACAGTTGCTGAAGTTCAGCCACACAGGCACTGGCAGGCCCTCGAAATCCCTTTCCGCGGTCACATCCAGTTCAAAGATACTGCAATTCCTCAGTGGTCCCGAGCACGTCTAGTGAGGTTAGTGATGCAACATCAATGTCACGAGTGTTGCTTGCAGTTTAAAACTCAAGTGCCATGTGAGCAGTTCTCGGCCTAAGTACAGCGCCTGATCAGGCGTCCGAGCCACTCATTTTGATACGAGGGCCCGTTGTCCGGATAATCTTGCCACCTTTGTACATGCACACAAACTGCCGTATCTTGCGACTGAGCCAGCAGAGTGTCACAGCGCTAGGCTTATCGGTCAGACAAGTGGTTTTCAACAGGACACGATCTCAACTACTTTACCAGTACAAGCTGTGAAGATCAATCCGACAGCCAGCTCTCACGGCTGAGGTGCTGCTTCAATACAGTGAGCGACATAGCTCCAGAATAGCGCTCAATACTGGGGTACAAGTCGGAATATACCTCAGCAAAGACTCGCTCGGGCCGTCGGTATTTTCAAGATGAATTTGCCCCTCGCAATGTGTGAGCAATGCATCCATGAAGCGATTCGACTCCACAGGCGGCCAGAGTTGTTCACGCGCACATCCACAGAGATTTTACCTATGAAAGAAGGAACCATGCAGATGCAATGCTGCACGGTCAACTTCGGCATTCCAGAGCTGTGCCGTCAAAGGGCCGTCTGTTTCGAACGCCACTATGCGTGGGAAGGGTGGCAGGAATGTGTTCGAGATGCCCACAACCTGAATCAGTCACAGAGGGAGACAGCGAGCCTGCAGCTTCAAGCCTAGGTGAGTGCAACTTTAATCCCGCTTAGCATTCCCAAGCGCGTGGCCGTCACTGCTGCGGAGAGGTCTCCAACTTGGCCGCTGTTGTCCTCAACCTGAGAAGTGCTTTCCCTCTGTGAGGCCCTATCCTGCATGCAGGGGTCAGAGGAGGCATTCAACAAAAATGGCCCCTAGGGTCACACAATTCCTCACAATGATGCACATCTCCTGGTTGAAAGGCAGTGGGGAGTCTCCCAAGACTTGGATGCAAAGCTGCTGAATGAAGCCAGGTTTCAGTCTGGAGGGTGCGAGGCTTAGCACTGGAGCTCTCTCTAAGCGAACCCTGCTCAAGCACAACCCGACACCGCGCAGTGTGTGTGTGTGTGTGTGCGCAAAAGTACAGCTTCAGGGGACCCACTTTGGGAGGTCGTGGCAACAGGGATGCAGGGGCTCAAGCAATCCAACAGACAAGAAGTGCAGCCTATCGCTAGCTCAAATTTGGCGCTGTCACAGCGCCATTCCCTAAAGTTAAACTGTATGAGTCTCCAGCCGAATACGAGCTTCAGGCATTCCTTCTAGACAACCTGACAGGTGCGAGAAAACCTCGAGTGGTGGTCGCCTGACGACCGTCCGTAGCTTCACACTGCCTTCGCTTATACATGCCTTGCATCACAGCTGGCCTAAGTCTTGTCATTGACAATAATCACACGCGCTGCTGTGTTGCATTCAAGCGACGTAAATAAATGCGGAGTAGAAGGTGATGCCTGGCAGGCCAGGGAAGACAGTGTATTCAGCACGCTCCACTTGCCTCGTTCAATCTAGTAAGCCCAGTCCTGGTCCCGACATCACGAGATCGCAGTCTGTCAAGTGAACTTCCGTGGCCCCGGAGCCCATTTCCACCTCAGCATGCAAGTTGTAAAGCTGAAGCATCACTTCGGGAGTCATGCAACAGTCACCGTTTCTTCGTTAGCAGAACTTAGCAGAGCTCGATTCCTCGAGTAGTTTCTGAAGCTGCTGTTTACTGTGCTTGAAAATGGTGCAGTACTCGTTCCCTGACGACTGAAAAGCTGCGCGCAACCTGGAAGGACATGTACGCTGCGCGGCGAAACTTCAAGACTCAGGACTACCATGAATTTGTGTTCGGTGAAAGCAGCATATTTGCATGCATGTTGCGTCGTTCTTGCGACAGCCTGCTTGCCCGACGGTGTCTGGATTCAGATCCATAAACTTCGCAGTTTCCAGGGTAAATACGTTCGTCCTGGCAATCTGCAACGTGTTTCAAGGCTAGCATGTCACGGCTTCACACTTCGGGCCTGTCTGTCGGCAAGATGAAGGCCCAATACCGGCCCGGAATCGCCGCTGAGAATGTCAAGTGCACATCGCTGGGCGTCGGATTGGCGGATATCACCTCAACGCAATCAGCAGTGCAAGCGCTGTTTCAACCCACTCGTTCACTCGAAGCGTGTTTGTGTGTGTGTGTGCCCTACTGCCGGGGTTCAAGAAAGCAGCTCGGTTTTATGTGAAGGGGGTGCCAGGTCGCGGATGCACGAACCTGTACCCGCAACTACCTTTAACATGCTGTTGATTCACAGTGGCTTTAAACAGCGAATCCCATCTGAAAGAACGAGGTTCTGAGTTGCGAAGCAAGAGATCTGCTCAGTGAATCTTGAAAAGATGTCACTAACCTGCTAACCCATGTTTGTGATCCGGCTGTATCGAGGGTCGTTCCAAACGTGTGATTCGGCTGGGAAGCTGTCATAAAAGTCCTGAGACTCCAGCTTTATCTAGAAAGCTCGGTGGCCAGAAGGATAAGCACGACAGATCAGCAAAATACTCTGTTACATAAATGCTGCTTCAGATGTCGGGACGGTGTCAGTTCGTGATCCTACATACTTCGGCGCCTACATTCGCTGCCACATACCAAACTGGTGACCAGCATCTGTTTCGCCTACCTACCAAAATTGGGACCAGCAGTGCTTTAACATGAATGTGTACGTATGCTCTTCTACATGCCAAACTTGTGGCCAGCAATGCTTTAACATACATGCGTATGTTTCCCTACATACCAAACTTGTGATGGCTGAAGATCAGCAGGCAAGACAATAAGAGAGTGGCTGCGGCTCTGACCTGCAAAGTCCCATGCTCGCCAACAAAAAGACAGATAACACAAGATTCGGAAGCAACAGAACAAAAAAAGATGAACGCAGCTGCGGCTTGGCCTGCAGACCTCTCATACTTCGAGCAGAGAAACAGTGTGCGGGGGAGGGGGGGGGGCTTCGACTTTGACCTGCCAACTCCCACACTAGCCATGACAAAAACATACGGGCTTAATACAAGTCGGAGAGTGACCATGCATTTCCCGAAAATGTCACAGGCCGTCGGGGGCAGTCCAAGCTTTGCATGCTTTGTTACGTGCTTTCAGTTGTTGCCCGTTGCCTTTGAAACTTGTTGGGTTGTTGTCTCCTTCGCCCCTTCCTCATCACCCCATCCATCACTTCACGGTCTGGAATCTTTTCGGCCCTCTCATCTCGTCGTTACTGTCCTCTAAGATTTAGAGTGTCTTTGTTCGTTGGCTTGCTCACCACGGTTCGTGCAAATTACTCCTTTCGTCCTTGTCCTCCAAGTTCTGTTTGTCATCACCCCTTCAATTCACCGTCTCGACTCATTCCTTGCCCTCCCATTTCACGGTCATAGCCATAGCCTGTAAGTGATTGCAAGTGTGTGCAAAGGATTGCGCGGTTGTTTGAAACATGTTCTGGTGTGAGGTGACTTCAAGTGACTGCAAGCGTCTGCAAGTGATTGACTCATGCAAGTGATTGCACCGGATTGCGTGGTTGCCTGATACACGACTCTATCTGATATTATTGCAAGTGATTGCTCTGCGTGTGCGAAGCCCTGTTGCCAAGTGTCTCAGAAGCCAAACAAAGCCAGCTCAGTTTTATGTGAAGGTGGGGCCAAAAGGGCAAGAGTGCAGGCCCCAATGAAATCCAATGAAGGCCGCTCTCGTTCCTCGTGATGGCTTCGTGGACGCACGAACCTGTACCTGCAAAGGCCAGCCCAAATTACCCTGAACATGCTGTGGATTCACAGTGGCATCCCAAAAGTGAATCTGATCTGAAGGAAGGAGGTTTTGAGTTGCGAAGCGAGAGATCTGCTCAGTGCAGCTTCCAATCATGTAACTACCGTGCTTGCCCACACTAATTACTGCTCCGGCCATATTGAAGGTCGTTCCGTGCATGCATGCGTGTGCGTGCGTGCGCACGTGCCGGCGGGCGAGTGTGTGTGCGTGCGTGACGGAACAACGGGCCGACCGCAGGCTCTTTGATTCTTATGGCCACAGGAGACAGAAGGACAGGCTTCTATTCATGACTTTCTCGGCCAGCTGCCCGTGTCTAGAATGCTAAGATGCCTTCGATCTCAATTGATCGCATCTGAGCGGCTGGTCCGGCCGCGATGCGATTTGAGACTGTCGGCCGGGGACTGATGTGGACGGGCAGCTGAGCCAAGGTTCCGTCGTTGAGACCTTCACATGCAGACAATAAGTTTAAACACACTTACAGCTCGTGCAGAGAGTCACGGCAAAAAAGGGGGTAAACGGCGAATCTATCTCATCCACGCCGTACTGCACTCCAAGCATGGCATTTGCCCTAGACAGAATAGCAAGACAGGCACGAAATCGTTGAGTGATTGCCAAAAGCCGATGATCCGAGTCCGTGGCCGTTGATATCCTCCACATACACGGCTAACACATACCTTCCACTGCTCGGCAGTAAATTCAGATCAGAATGCGATCCAGGAGTTGGATCAGGCTCAGACTGGTTGAACCTACGTTTAACCTTGACTTGATGATTTCGTTCTAAGGTGGCGGCACGTTGCGCACACGGATGCCAACGAGACATCAGAGAGATGGCGTATACATTTCGGCGCAGAGAAACACCAGCTAACAAGGATATTCCAAGGTGCATTCCATTGGTGGTCAAGTCGCAGCCATCACCGGCATTCCTGACAGCTGTCGTTCGGAGACTGTTCTTTTTGCTGCCAGGCCGGTGCTATCACTAGCTGTGTGCTGGCCAAAGGACGGAAACGAGGATGCAAGCAAGATCTCCTGAAGCAGACCGGAAGCCGGAAAGCGTTTTGGAACCAAGTGATACCACGTGTGCTGAACAAGCGGAAGCCCCGCCCCCAGCTTTGCCTTCACAGCGGTGCCAATGCTCAGGGCCTTCAGCAGTGCTTGAAAACTGCTAATTTGGGCTTCACGTCTGGCAGAGCAACGCCTCGCCTCTCTCCGGCAATTCGAACCTCCTGCTGCGTTGGCAAAGCTCTTCACACTCTCAATGGTCCTTACGGGCGACGTGCAATATAGAAATGACCAGAAATACGAGCTTTCGGCTTGCCAATGCAGGCTAGCGTCAGTGAGTAGGCAAGCCACGCATCTATGATCATGACCTGAGATTTCGCCACAGCAGGTTAAATTACGTAGTATCTTGATCAAGCTCTTGAAGTTGTTTGGTAAGAAAGCTTGGGGTGCATGTCCGTCCCTTACGTCTGTTGTGCCGTGGATGCCTCGTTTGGTAAATGCCGCAAAGGAATCTTCGGGCCTGAATGGCAGGAGAGTGGCCCACGCAACGCCGAACTGCTGAACGGCAGAGAAGGTAAACTGCACGTGGTCCTGCACGAAGCTCGGTGACATAGTGAAATCACGCAGCAGCCCTTAAACTGTCATGGACGAACCAATCTGCGTGTCTTAGAGAGATTGCTTTGGAATGCCTGACGTGCTGTGGCGACAAGCTGGGGAGGTTGAGAGAAGTCGTTGGAAACCTCGGCGGCACAATCGAAAAGCAATATCTTAAAATCGCTGAATATTTTACACGATCCCTAACGAAAAGAGTAGCCACCGGGGGACTGACACACTAGCATGCGCAATGATTCAGTTGTGTCTTGTGGACTTGCATGATCTGGCATGATCGACCGCTTCTGGCAAACGCTCCTAACCTCACTGTCAATTCAAGCGACCGTAGGAACAAAGATCTCGACCGGAGGACTCAGAGTCCTAGGTTCCGCGGCATCGTGCTTCAATGGCAGCAATTTCGTCGCCCTCCCTGTACATTCTGCCGAGAATCCCATTCAATCCTCCCTCGGGTCCGGCAACGTAGGCAAAGGCGTAGTAGTACCTACCTGCAAATATGAGAGGTGCATCGTGAAATAGACAGTTTTCAGGATGGAGTTGAGAGTGTCTTGCCTCGCAAGAGACCACACTCTGAAAGTTGCACTGTCGCCTCCTGTCGTTGCAGCATCAGGGTTGCAGCTGATCATACCGGAAATTTGCGGATTGCGAAACTCTGGTGCTCCTATCCTGTTTTGTGTTCGCGGCGATGAAAGAACAAATGAGGCATGCGTCGGGCGTGCTTGTTTAGGTACTTCGCATGAATCTGAAACTCGCAAACAGCTGGCCGGAGCAAAAAAAACACGAACATAAAGCAAGCTGTACGTTGTCGCGGTGCTTGTTGTGAATCTTGCAACTTTTGGCATATCACCAAAGGCTTGGTTTCACGGCACAAGCTCATGGCAATGCTTGCTAGTTTCACTGAAGCCTTTCCGCATACCATTGCATACCAAAAAGTGTGTCTTATCATGACAAAAACCAACGAACTGAGTTAGTGGCACAATTGCACTCGCATTTTCAGCAAAATGTGCACGTGCATTTAACAGGGCACCGGTCAATGTTCTTGTTCCTGTAGCGAGGCGACGTGATGTGACGAACTCCAGGTCTAAGACAAGTAAACCGCCCGACGAGGGCAGCAGTACTGTAGCTCGAAGTGATCTAAATGTGGCAGTAGTTGCATGACGCTCAGTTCGGAAGAGCAAAAGCATACTGCATACATAACAGTCGGCTTCAACTCGTGAAACGAGTCTGGACTGCAGCTAGCACCCACTTCGACACCTTCCGTGGCACTACATTGCCACGTGAGAACACGGCCACGAACGCCAGGAACGTTTAGGTGGACGAGTCGCCGTCGGACGCTTCAGGTTTCGGAGCTTTACAACTCGTGTTTCTGGTCCAGCTTTGAAGCATTCCAATATCTTACGGCTTCCCCTTCCTGACGTTTTTAGGCCAACCAGGTCCTCCTGTTGGGAGTGTTCTGGACATTTGAGGTAAAGAGAGAGAAAGTGAGAGAGAGAGAGAGCGAGCGATAGAACGAATAGACTTAGACACCAGACCGGTTGCCAAGTGGGGGTTCTTGCTTCAAGATACGACGACGACGACCACTATCACTACTATTACCACTACTACTGCTACTGCTACTACTACTACTACTACTACTACTACTACTACTACTGCTGCTAGTACTACTACTGCTACTGCTACTGCTACTGCTACTACTACTACTACTACTACTACTACGACTACGACTACT